TTTGTGTACCGAACTATGAGTTACAATTTTAAAGTGTTACCATTTATCTACCTAAGATGAATTAAATAGAATGAATTATGAAATAGTAATCTGAAGGGGTTTTGTGGAGATTTTAGTATTTTATAGAGTTGAGATCATGAGTCAATTGAAGCTAGACTACCATGGAAAACCTGGAAGCACTGGACGGCCGTTTCGTCCTATTATGGGACTCCTCAGCAGTGCGCGTCCACGAACCCACTCTCGCGGGATTCGAACCCAGGACCTACCAGTTTCGAGCCGAAGCCCTTAACCGATAGACCACTGAGCTGGCATCCAACGGTGTTAATTTCTAACTTCAACTGATTCACGAAATTGAGCAACCATTCACCAATGTCATCAGTGAGTTCCTATCTCACAACAGACCTGGTTGAACTCCACCGGTTACTGCTTCTCACTAGAACTCCAGGAAATACCTCAAGGAGTCAGTCACTAGTGAGCACCTGATTATTATCAGAAGGGGTTTTGTGGAGATTTTAGTATTTTATAGAGTTGAGATCATGAGTCAATTGAAGCTAGACTACCATGGAAAACCTGGAAGCACTGGACGGCCGTTTCGTCCTATTATGGGACTCCTCAGCAGTGCGCGTCCACGAACCCACTCTCGCGGGATTCGAACCCAGGACCTACCAGTTTCGAGCCGAAGCCCTTAACCGATAGACCACTGAGCTGGCATCCAACGGTGTTAATTTCTAACTTCAACTGATTCACGAAATTGAGCAACCATTCACCAATGTCATCAGTGAGTTCCTATCTCACAACAGACCTGGTTAAACTCCACCGGTTACTGCTTCTCACTAGAACTCCAGGAAATACCTCAAGGAGTCAGTCACTAGTGAGCACCTGATTATTATCAGAAGGGGTTTTGTGGAGATTCAATTGACTCATGATCTCAACTCTATAAAATAGTAATCTATTAATTGAATCGAATTATTTTGACAGGGTAGATAAGTGAAGTTGAACTGAGACAACAGGAAAGAGATAATGAAATGAATTGTTCATCATGTACAGTATGACTGATATATTAACTACTCAATGTAACCAAATATTATTACTGTCGTTAAAGTATAAACCGTATAAAAAAATATATTGAAAGTAGATGCCGGGATGTTACCTGGTCCCGCTGCTTTGCCACTCTTGATTTATCTAATGGTCATGCTGATCTCTTCAATTGTTGGTGGGTCAACAACTTCTATGTTGTATAATTCACTTAATTAAAGTTAGATATATAACAAATTAGATTCATTGAAAATGCTTGGAACAGATTGCCAGACAAAATGTTGGATTTACTTTAAATTTAATCGCTGAGATTTTACAAATATATTCTTCTTCCTATTTAATGTCTCTTATTAGATCTTAATCTAAGCTGTGTAAATTTTAAGCTCTTGTGACGACACCAGAAGATCATGGGTTCAGTCCCTGATGAAATTGTGGATGAGAACCCCTAGGGAATGTCAAATAAGTATTTAATACCCTATAGTTTTTTAGTGTTTGTGTAATTCAAGTCAGTTTGTGATGTTAACTATTAAATTTAATGATATTCGCAAGCTCTTTATATTAGTCACCTTACTCAATTAGAAAATAGATCTAATCCCGTCTTAAAGTTTATTAAGTGAATTTTATCTTATAGTGATGTTCTTTATAAAAACAATGAACGTATTAATATGAATTGAGTAAAGTTACTGGATCTATGAAAAATACTTGATACGCTTGATGAGGAACAACATTGGACACGTGAATTATATATGAAATTAGAGAAAAAAAAATTCCCATAAAGCGAAAAATGGTAATTTACCACACACAAAAATACCTTCATTCGTGTCATTAATCATATTGTAATGGTTGGTCGCTCACTGACTAGTAACTAGTACTGTATTTGTCCAGTCCTTGGTGTTAACAGAATGTGGTCGATCAATTTTCAGTTTGCTTACCACTTTATGTGACTCAGCATCATTGTAGATATGTACGTAGGCATATATGCCTGAAGACTTCTTAAACTACAGTAAAAGTGTGAACAATTCATTGTGATTCCTATCGGTTATCATCAAATTTTACTATTTATAAGAATAGTAATGTACAGAAAAGTCATTCTATCTCATACATCGACACATAAAATGTTATAACTTGTGGGCTTTGCACCCTATTAATATATAATGTAATGATATTGCCAACTACAGAACAGTGATTTATCGACCGAACTAATGATGCATAAACTAGTAAGAGCAGTTTAGAGTCCTTATTGGTCCTTCTTTCTGCCTAACCCTGCCTTTTGAGTACAGAACATCAATCTCAGCCTTTGCATTATGAATCATGTATTTGAAATATACTGGGTTTATATACAAGCCAAACAGATCATATCGTATCTGTCATATGCTAGTGAAGATTAAAGTACGGGTAACTTCCGGGACCTATTAGTGGACGATTATTCTATATGTATTCTTATAGTATTACTATTCAGTAATTAGATTGTGTGTATCTATATTCATCTTATTATAAACTTCATTTCGACCTATAGATTATTATTATACGATTTAGTGTTCCTAAATTATATTCGGTTTATTGATTATTGTCTCCCACGTTCACAGTCACATTTTGGCTTCATTGTGTATATATGTTATTTCCTATTTTATGATGTGATGTGGTCTGTTTGGCTGGTATATAAACCAAGTATGCTTGAAATAAATAATTCGCATAACAGAAGCTGTAATTGGTGTTCTGGACTCAATTGAAAGGGCTAGAGGCGGACAAGAGACCAATAAGAACGCTAGGCTGTCCATATCTGTTGAATGTCATTGATTTGGCACAGTGCTAAGATTATATAAGTCATATTTCGACTGGTGAATAAATCACTTGATAAAAAAGCCGGCCTTAAATTCACAGCAGTATCATGAGATACAAAAAATAACAATTGTATAAGATCTAGCCCAAAGTGCCTATGAATGTGACAGACTGTAATTAATAGACTGGACATAACCTCAAAACGGTAAATCGCATTATATGGGTCAAAATAAAGCATATAATAAGAGGAACATGAATATTATCATTATTATCATTATCATTACAAAATCGAATTCTCAGCATAAAGTATTTCAACATGTTTACGTTTCTTATTTCTTCGTTGCTCCTGATGATAAACATTCAGTGATCGTCAGTTGGATGTCAGCAGTTCAGTCAATCGACATATGAATAATGTATATTCTTTTTGCTTCATGTTCCCAGCAAACACGATATTTCTGATTGGGCCTTTTGCAACCTTTACAGCGAAAGGTTGTACAGTTTTCAGAAACCCACCGGAATAGGTTGTATGCTTAATAGCCATAATGATGTATTAAAATAAACAATATTAGATAATTTGTTGAAATATATAGATGACAGGAACAGGTAGCCCATCATTAGTTTAGTTACTTAAGAATTATACGATAAGAATGTATGTATCATATTGGTTCACAGGTAGTTCTCAAAAGTTACCATTCAATAATTCTCGTCGGGATTTAACATACAATATCCTCATTAAAATTTTTTATACATATTCTCAAATTCTTCCATATAGTTTTATTCAACATTTCTTAGGAAGTCACACTAAGAAACTGTTATGCTCCGATAAAGATAATGAATGGTAACTTTGGGATCTATTTATGAACCAATACTGTGAATAAATTTTTTTATCGTATAATTGGTAAATAACTAAACTATTCATATTCATGTCCTCCCCTTCTTATAAGCTTTATTTTGAACTATAAACTATTGTTATATGATTTACCATTTCTGAATTATGCTCTGTCTATTATTAACTATCTCCCTTATTTACAGCCACATTTGGCCGAGTCTTGTACAAATGTTATCTTCTATTTTATGGTACGATGTGATCTGTTTGATTGGTATATAAACTCAGTATATTTGTCAATAACGATCCATATTGCAGTGGCTGTTAGCGGTGTTCTGGACTTAACTGACTGGGCTAGGCTAGAAAGCAAAACCGATAAATACTCTAGACTGCTGGTAAGGGTTTCGTGTTTTACTGATCCGATCGATAAATCACTGCTCTCTAATTGACAGTCTTATCAAGTCATACATTTTACAGAATATCCACTCGTCCACAAGTTATAACATAAAATTCTAACCATTAAACTATCTAGATCTGAATCCTTATAAACCAATACAGTCAAAAGGAACATTTGAGTTAATATTACCCTAGTTTTACTTCAATAACGTATATGTTCTCATCAATGACAATAATATAATTACAATGATATAAAAAGACATTTTATTCTATTATATACAATAACTAAATTTTATATCAAACAACTAACTTATTTTCATAATTGAAATCATGAGTCAATTAAAGCTAGACCACCATGGAAAACCTGGAAGCACTGAACGATCGTTTCGTCCTATTGTTGAACTCTTCAGCAGTGCTCATCCTCGATTCCACCTCACAAAATTCAAATCCAGTACCTATCAAGTTTGATCTTCTTAATATTAAAAAAAAACAAAAACAACAACTAATCTGATAATAAATTGGATTAATTATATCTAAGAAAGAAGAAATAGAAACAAGAATGTAACAAAAAAATATACTAATTATAGAAGGGGTTTTGTGGAGATTTAGTATTTATCATTGTTTATCATTGGCCGTCCAGTGTTTCCAGGTTTTCCATGGTGGTCTAGCTTCAATTGACTCACGCTTTCAACAATGAAAAAAATATACATCAAAATATTGAAATCATGAGTCAATTAAAGCTAGAACACTATGGAAAATCTAGAAATACTAAACAGCCATATCATCTTATTATGGGACTTCTCAGAAGTGCTCATCCATGAAACCGTACTTGCGAAATATTTTAATGATGAAAAAAAAAAATTAATTAAATTTTCACAAAACCCCATTTTTATTAAAATTAATAAATCAACAAATAAAAATTATCATAAAAGATGATGAAGAAAAAAAAAACAAACTTACTTACTTGATTTAAAAGTATCAAATTATATTGAAATTTATAATCAAAAAAAAATAATCCATTAAATGAATAATTCAATAAAATAAAAGTTTTTATATTTTTTGTTGTTGTTGTTGTATTTTTCTTTTGTTTATTCGTTTAGTTTTGTTATTTTATTTTTTTGTTATAAAAATTTGAAAATTTTACATCTTTAAATAAATTGTTGCTAAGGTGAATAAATTTCAACCAAAAAAAAATTAATTAATTATTGATTAATAATTAAAAGTAATATGAAAATTATTGATTTTAAATAAAATTGATTCAGTTTATAGAATAATAAAGAAAACAGTATGGTTAGCTATATATATATATATACATAGATTTATATAGTTTAAAAAATCGATATATTGTGCATGTATATGAATAATGTGTGCAATTATTTATTGATTTCAAAAAAAAAACAGGTTGTATAGAGATGACAAGGCAGAAATAGTAATTCTATGATTAAAAATGATTTGATAAAATATAAACAGTTAAAATGGTTGAATAAGGGTGAATGAGTCATGGTAACTAAAAATTGAATATGTATAAGACATAGTGAAAATCAAATTAGAAAAAAGCAAAAAAAGTTACACTAAAAAAATTATTAGAATAATGAATGTTAAATGAAGAACAGCAAAATTAAAAAAAATTACGGAAAAAAATAGAGTTATCAATTATGCGAAATCATAAAGACAGGGGTAAAGTGAAAGCATATTGGTGACGATTGATGATGATCAGTATGATGGAGAGAAATAGTGATCTGTGTATGACTGTCAATTGTTTGCAAATGGTGTTTTGAAAATAATGATTAACGTATTGACTGGGTAACTGATAGTCAGTTGTGACAATTGAGATCGTACTTCTAGGGATCAGTCCTATAGTACGTATCACCAGGACGTCAAACAAACTTGACCCTGGCCAACCAACCGCGATGATGATCAGTGCGGCCTATTCCTGAGCGTGAAGCGGGTGTGTGGCTGTCCGTCTGGCTGGCTTCTCACGAAGTCTGTTCGTGCGGACTCGGCCGCCTCCTTGTCCGATCGTCCAGCCGAATTGACGACTGCGTGCGAAAGCGTTGCAATTCCAATTCGGTTTGGAGGAACTGGCCTGTGCTGAGCGGCTACCTTTATTACTATTAACAAAATACTCAGACATCATTCATTATATCTACAACACTATCAATCATATCATAATACTATATATATATATATATATATATATATATATATACACACAACTAACATATCTTGCTCTACACACAAACACTTACCTCCTATACACTTAACACAAATACAACCCATTCACACACAATTATCATTAACATAACAATTCTTTTATTCTCATCATTGTATACTATATGTAGTTCAATACTATTCGGTAGCAACAAGTGCCCAAGCATTGAAAACAAACACACCTCATCAACATACCAAAATATCCAGATCTCATCAAATGGGAGAACTATAAACCAGTCACACTATTATCGGTAACGCAGAAAAACTTCTCAACAGAGTGTTGCTCCACAGGATGGCAGCTTCACTAGATCTACAGCTCCCAGATCAACAGACCGGATTCCCTAAGCAAGTAAGTAAGTATGTAAGGAAGGAAGTGAGTATGTAACAATTCATTCGAATTGACCATGTCAATCGAGCTACTAATGACAACTGTATTCAGTAGTATAGAGTGTATGATACTTGGAAAATGGAAAGACCCTATAATCACTGTGTACGAGTTAGTTGGCTAGTTGTTTATTCAACAATGTGTTTGAATAGCACATTGGTGACGATTGATGATGATCAGTATGATGGAGAGAAATAGTGATCTGTGTATGACTGTCAATTGTTTGCAAATGGTGTTTTGAAAATAATGATTAACGTATTGACTGGGTAACTGATAGTCAGTTGTGACAATTGAGATCGTACTTCTAGGGATCAGTCCTATAGTACGTATCACCAGGACGTCAAACAAACTTGACCCTGGCCAACCAACCGCGATGATGGTCAGTGCGGCCTATTCCTGAGCGTGAAGCGGGTGTGTGGCTGTCCGTCTGGCTGGCTTCTCACGAAGTCTGTTCGTGCGGACTCGGCCGCCTCCTTGTCCGATCGTCCAGCCGAATTGAGGACTGCGTGCGAAAGCGTTGCAATTCCAATTCGGTTTGGAGGAACTGGCCTGTGCTGAGCGGCTACCTTTATTACTATTAACAAAATACTCAGACATCATTCATTATATCTACAACACTATCAATCATATCATAATACTATATATATATATATATATATATATATATATATATATATATATATATACACAACTAACATATCTTGCTCTACACACAAACACTTACCTCCTATACACTTAACACAAATACAACCCATTCACACACAATTATCATTAACATAACAATTCTTTTATTCTCATCATTGTATACTATATGTAGTTCAATACTATTCGGTAGCAACAAGTGCCCAAGCATTGAAAACAAACACACCTCATCAACATACCAAAATATCCAGATCTCATCAAATGGGAGAACTATAAACCAGTCACACTATTATCGGTAACGCAAAAAAACTTCTCAACAGAGTGTTGCTCCACAGGATGGCAGCTTCACTAGATCTACAGCTCCCAGATCAACAGACCGGATTCCCTAAGCAAGTAAGTAAGTATGTAAGGAAGGAAGTGAGTATGTAACAATTCATTCGAATTGACCATGTCAATCGAGCTACTAATGACAACTGTATTCAGTAGTATAGAGTGTATGATACTTGGAAAATGGAAAGACCCTATAATCACTGTGTACGAGTTAGTTGGCTAGTTGTTTATTCAACAATGTGTTTGAATAGCATATTGGTGACGATTGATGATGATCAGTATGATGGAGAGAAATAGTGATCTGTGTATGACTGTCAATTGTTTGCAAATGGTGTTTTGAAAATAATGATTAACGTATTGACTGGGTAACTGATAGTCAGTTGTGACAATTGAGATCGTACTTCTAGGGATCAGTCCTATAGTACGTATCACCAGGACGTCAAACAAACTTGACCCTGGCCAACCAACCGCGATGATGATCAGTGCGGCCTATTCCTGAGCGTGAAGCGGGTGTGTGGCTGTCCGTCTGGCTGGCTTCTCACGAAGTCTGTTCGTGCGGACTCGGCCGCCTCCTTGTCCGATCGTCCAGCCGAATTGAGGACTGCGTGCGAAAGCGTTGCAATTCCAATTCGGTTTGGAGGAACTGGCCTGTGCTGAGCGGCTACCTTTATTACTATTAACAAAATACTCAGACATCATTCATTATATCTACAACACTATCAATCATATCATAATACTATATATATATATATATATATATATATATATATATATATATATACACAACTAACATATCTTGCTCTACACACAAACACTTACCTCCTATACACTTAACACAAATACAACCCATTCACACACAATTATCATTAACATAACAATTCTTTTATTCTCATCATTGTATACTATATGTAGTTCAATACTATTCGGTAGCAACAAGTGCCCAAGCATTGAAAACAAACACACCTCATCAACATACCAAAATATCCAGATCTCATCAAATGGGAGAACTATAAACCAGTCACACTATTATCGGTAACGCAAAAAAACTTCTCAACAGAGTGTTGCTCCACAGGATGGCAGCTTCACTAGATCTACAGCTCCCAGATCAACAGACCGGATTCCCTAAGCAAGTAAGTAAGTATGTAAGGAAGGAAGTGAGTATGTAACAATTCATTCGAATTGACCATGTCAATCGAGCTACTAATGACAACTGTATTCAGTAGTATAGAGTGTATGATACTTGGAAAATGGAAAGACCCTATAATCACTGTGTACGAGTTAGTTGGCTAGTTGTTTATTCAACAATGTGTTTGAATAGCACATTGGTGACGATTGATGATGATCAGTATGATGGAGAGAAATAGTGATCTGTGTATGACTGTCAATTGTTTGCAAATGGTGTTTTGAAAATAATGATTAACGTATTGACTGGGTAACTGATAGTCAGTTGTGACAATTGAGATCGTACTTCTAGGGATCAGTCCTATAGTACGTATCACCAGGACGTCAAACAAACTTGACCCTGGCCAACCAACCGCGATGATGATCAGTGCGGCCTATTCCTGAGCGTGAAGCGGGTGTGTGGCTGTCCGTCTGGCTGGCTTCTCACGAAGTCTGTTCGTGCGGACTCGGCCGCCTCCTTGTCCGATCGTCCAGCCGAATTGAGGACTGCGTGCGAAAGCGTTGCAATTCCAATTCGGTTTGGAGGAACTGGCCTGTGCTGAGCGGCTACCTTTATTACTATTAACAAAATACTCAGACATCATTCATTATATCTACAACACTATCAATCATATCATAATACTATATATATATATATATATATACACACAACTAACATATCTTGCTCTACACACAAACACTTACCTCCTATACACTTAACACAAATACAACCCATTCACACACAATTATCATTAACATAACAATTCTTTTATTCTCATCATTGTATACTATATGTAGTTCAATACTATTCGGTAGCAACAAGTGCCCAAGCATTGAAAACAAACACACCTCATCAACATACCAAAATATCCAGATCTCATCAAATGGGAGAACTATAAACCAGTCACACTATTATCGGTAACGCAAAAAAACTTCTCAACAGAGTGTTGCTCCACAGGATGGCAGCTTCACTAGATCTACAGCTCCCAGATCAACAGACCGGATTCCCTAAGCAAGTAAGTAAGTATGTAAGGAAGGAAGTGAGTATGTAACAATTCATTCGAATTGACCATGTCAATCGAGCTACTAATGACAACTGTATTCAGTAGTATAGAGTGTATGATACTTGGAAAATGGAAAGACCCTATAATCACTGTGTACGAGTTAGTTGGCTAGTTGTTTATTCAACAATGTGTTTGAATAGCATATTGGTGACGATTGATGATGATCAGTATGATGGAGAGAAATAGTGATCTGTGTATGACTGTCAATTGTTTGCAAATGGTGTTTTGAAAATAATGATTAACGTATTGACTGGGTAACTGATAGTCAGTTGTGACAATTGAGATCGTACTTCTAGGGATCAGTCCTATAGTACGTATCACCAGGACGTCAAACAAACTTGACCCTGGCCAACCAACCGCGATGATGATCAGTGCTGCCTATTCCTGAGCGTGAAGCGGGTGTGTGGCTGTCCGTCTGGCTGGCTTCTCACGAAGTCTGTTCGTGCGGACTCGGCCGCCTCCTTGTCCGATCGTCCAGCCGAATTGAGGACTGCGTGCGAAAGCGTTGCAATTCCAATTCCGTTTGGAGGAACTGGCCTGTGCTGAGCGGCTACCTTTATTACTATTAACAAAATACTCAGACATCATTCATTATATCTACAACACTATCAATCATATCATAATACTATATATATATATATATACACAACTAACATATCTTGCTCTACACACAAACACTTACCTCCTATACACTTAACACAAATACAATAAAAATTTAATATACGGCTTCTGATCTCTATTGAAATGGGAAACTCTAACTGTATAATGGCAGTACGTAGCTCGTTCATAAGTTCTGATGGCGCTACTTAACGCTTCAAGTGATTGGAACGCTACGAGATACAATGTATCGAAATATACGTTGTCCGTTTCTGTGACAATGTGAGAAATAACAGAGCTGATATTTTATACCAATTTTAAGAAATAAATTACCATTTATAACGAATTTAAACAAGCCATTTAATTGGACGAAACGGAATAAAAAAAGTCTCATGCGCGAGCGCTTAGCAAGTACATGCGCACTGCTGAGGAGTCCCACTATATAAAATTACTAAAATCTCCACAAAACCCCCTTCTGATATTAGCGATTACTTAAGTAATACAGAGATACCTACAGAATCATTACTTATTATATTTGAACACATAAATATTGGTACGAAGAGGCACCGAATACAAATGCGCCACAAAAGTCACTTGATTTGTGTGTGGGCTGTGATACTGCCGGAGTGGCCGAACCGAAGCAGCTGATTGACTTAGAGGTCCATACCTGAAGCATCTGACTGTTAGATGGGCGGCCTGCTTAAACATCTTGGCTACCTGTTCCTGTCATCTATATATTTCAACAAGTTATCTAATATTATTTGTTTTAAGAAATCATAATGGCTATTAATCACACAACCTATTCAGGTGCGTTTCTGAAAACTGTACAACCTTTCGCTGTAAAGTTTACAAAAGGCCTAATCAGAGATGTCGTGTTTGCTGGGAACATGCAGAGAAAAGAATATACATTATCCATATGTCGATTGATTGAACTGCTGACATCTAACTGGCGATCGCTAAATATTTATCTTTAGGAGCAACGAAGAAATAAGAAACGGACGCTTGTTGAAATACTTTAAGCTGAGAATTCGATTTTGTACCAAATAATATAATATTGAATAAAGCTAATAATAATAATAATAATAATAATAATAATAATAATAATAATAATAATAATTCGATCTCAAGGTCTGATCCACTAGGCAGTTAAGCAACGTAAGGAAATGCGATCTCATGGTAGCCGGTGATCAATAATTGCTCCATACATCATCTTTTTTCCTCAAGATCCTGGAGCCTATGTGCACCATTGATTTGAAATTAGGGTTTTCTAGCTCACCTAGGTGGACTATTCGTATCCATCAACCCAATTAAAGCACCAGACATTCGCTTTTCATCTTCTCAACTACATAAGCAACATCTCTGCTGCCAGAAGACAGTGAGTAAGACTTCTCTGTCAGTGGCTGTATACTCGTAGCCATATGCGAGAATTTCAAGAGGGAGAATGGACTTTCCTTACCTTCAACCGTATTAAGGCATTTGACGGTACAGAATCATTACTGTATGCCATTGGTAGTTTACTTTCAACTATACGTTTTTATATTAAGTAGATTTTAATTCAAAATTCACTTGTTGTATTCATAATAATAAGGTTTAAGATTGTTATTCAATAATCAGCTAATTACTATTTTATTAAATAATTGAAGATAATAATTGTTCAATCATATGTAAAAGAAATTTCCAATTGGATTAACTTAAGTTTGAAATTGATTTGAACTTGTTTCAAATGACACATAGAATATTGTTTTTATGGTTTGTAATTTGATTTCTAAGTGAAATTTATAAAATTTCAACTAATAGTTTTCAAGTTTGCCTAAAGTTACAAGCTTTATAAACAAAGATGGATAGTGGCTAGCAGTGAAAACCAAGACACGAGTTTCGTTCTATTTGGGACTAATTAGCTGAATGTACCTGCATCTCAGAGTTGAAGTTCACCCTATTACATAAGCAGGTGGCTACCACGGTTCAGTAGCTAAGTGGATAACGCGATGGCGATGGGTTCGAGTCCCAGAGTGAACATCAATTCTGAGATGGAGGTACATCCAGCTGACGAGTCCTAAATAGTACGAAACTCACGTCCTGGGTTCTTCTTCTAGCCATCATCCATCTTTGCTAATAATGAATGGTCTTGTTGTGTATGTGCTATTTAGTGCATTATCAAGTAACTCAGAAAAAATGAGTTTAACTGCAAATCTATGACTTATTAAACGATAGACTCTTATCACTAAGATATCTTCATTCTTTCAAAGTTGAAATCATGAGTCGATTGAAGCTAGATTATAATCATATGCTCACTAGTGACTGACTTCAAGATACATGTCCTGGAGTTCTAGTGAGAAGCAGTGACCAGTGGAGTTCAACCAGGTCTGTTGGGAGATATCAACTCACTGAAGACATTGGTGAATGGTTGCTCAATTTCGTGGATCGGTTGAAGTTATTCATTAACACCGTTGGATGCCGACTCAGTGGTCTATCGGTTAAGGGCTCCGGCTAGAGACTGGTAGGTTCTGGGTTGGAATCGTGGACGCGTACTGCCACTGAGGAGTCCCATAATAGGACGAAATGGCCGTCCAGTGCTTCCAGGTTTGTCATGGTGGTCTAGCTTCAATCAAATCATGAGTTCAACTTTGAAAAATACTGAAATCTCCACAAAATCCCTTCTGATATCTTCTTTCTGTCAGATATTAGTTCTTTAAACTGGATAGTTTGGTAGGACTAAACTATACTGCCGACCTTTGAACGAATCTTAAATGACTTTGAGGAATATTAGCCAATCAGAAGACAGTTAGTATACAGTGAAAGTTTATTATACAAAACCAAATAATTAAAGGGGATGCTGTTCTTTTACATGAGTGAAAAACTTGTCAAGGTCAGATATAGATTCAGAAGTCCTAAAATCATAGCGCATACAGTACAGGAACAAATCCATATGGCTCCATAGTAGTCGACCTCTGAAACCATGATAAGGTCTCAAAAACTATATTAGCCTCGACCACATAGCTTCAATAATGTTAGTATATTGGTATGGCTTACGGTTTAGGGTTAGAGTTAAGGTTTAAGGTTTAGGGTTATGGGTGAAACTATAAGTTATGGACAACCTTTGAGCGACGCTAGAGTGACTCTGAGAGTGTCAACATAATAACTAAGACCAAATGAGGGTATAAACCTGTGTAAAGAATTCAAATTATGATTTAAAGTTCACGGTTAAGGTTAGGAATTATACTTAGGGTTTTCATCACCAACTGACATCAGCTATATTGCCAAAACTCTATTTATCCAAATGAATAATTGAATTTCGCACCAAAATCTTATGATCACTTCTCTTGTAGATGCTGAATTATCACGTCTTCCCTAAAATCCTCTGTAAACCGATTGTACGTAAGCATCAGGTACCGAACATAGTGCCGTGACCTTGAAAACCAACGAAAGCTTCTGATTGGTTCGGCAGTATAATTTAGTTCTACCGATAGTTTAATTGTATAGTTTTTGTTCACTTTTCGAAATGTTTAATTAAGCCAAAATCTTTAAATAAGCCTATTCTTTATAACCTTAACTATTTGATTTAACGCTATCAAAACAAAAGAATAATTATGACGATACTTCACAGTATCATACCATAAAAGCTTTACAATTAAATCATTCATTTCAGTGAATAGAACATTGGTAAAATATATGACTTATTTTCTATTTTCTTTTTAAAGCTTAGATCCTTTCGGAACAAAATAATGGGATTGCCTAAAGGAATGATAGGAATTTGCATATTATTCACATATAAATGCAAATATAAAACCAAAACAACATTATTATTGTTATAAATGGTTAAGGGTGTGTGAGTAACACAATAACACAATTAGAATGAAGAACTTTTCAAAATAACGACTTATGTTTGATAGTTGAATTCATGAATCGATTTAAGTTAGACCAACATTGAAAAACTGGAGGTATCAGACGGCCGTTTCGTCCTAGAGTGGGACTACTCAACAATAAGCAACTACGATCTCATACGTGAGACTCCAACCCCGAAACCATCGGTATTGTTTGCAAACAAAAAAACATCTAGACTACTGTTTCACTTGAAAAGCGTGCATACTCAAAGGTAGTACATGAAACCTTTATCTAAAGAATTAATAAAATGAAGTTCTTCTGTATGTCAAAGGAGGGTTTTGTGAAGATTTTAGTAATTTTTTTATATAGTTGAGATCATGAGTCAATTGAAGCTTGACCGCGAGACTGATAGATCCTGGGTTCAAATCTCGTGAGGCGGGATTGTGGATGCGCACTGCTAAGAAGTTTCACAATCGTATGAAACGGCAGTCCAGTGCTTCTTCTGTATATTCTTGAAAAAAAATTTAAAATTTTTAAGTTTTTTCAGAGTATTTAGTTAAACGAATGATATCCCTTAAGGAATCATTGAATAATTAAACAAGATAGTTGTTTCATCTTAGTATTAGACTTTATGAATGTTAAATCCCGTGGAGATTTATCAATGGCAACTTTGAGAACTATTTATGGATCAATGTAATGTGTATCTTTCCTATTGTATAATTTTTAAGTAACTAAACTATTAATATTCATGTCCCTCTTATTATAAGCTTTATTTTGACTTATAATCTATTGTTATACGATTTACCATTCTTGAGTTATCCCCAGTCTATTGATTACTTCTTCCCCTATTCACAGCCACATTTGGCCAAATTTTGTACAAATGTTGTTTTTCTATTTTATGGTACGATGTGGTCAGTCTGTTTGATATATAAACTCAGTATGTTTGAGAATAATGATTCATATTACAGAGGCTGTTATTGATGTTCTAGACTTAACTGTCTGGGCTGGGCAGATAGTAGGATCAAGTAGTGCCCAAGATTGCTTAAACGACTTTTGTGTATCATTGCTCCGATCGATAATTCGCCCTTCTCTCATTGGCGGGAATCAGCACGTTCGTATATCAAACAGCGCACATACGCACTCACACGTTATAATAATGACAATACATACCTACCACCACATCACAAGTAGAATCCAGAAATGTCAATTTTAATAACAAACAAATTTTCAACTTCATTCAGTTTTTCTTCTCATTAAACACTGAAGTTAAAAATTTGTTTGTTATTAAAATTGACATTTCTGGATTCTACTTGTGATGTGGTGGTAGGTATGTATTGTCATTATTATAACGTGTGAGTGCGTATGTGCGCTGTTTGATATACGAACGTGCTGATTCCCGCCAATGAGAGAAGGGCGAATTATCGATCGGAGCAATGATGAGAAGAAAAACTGAATGAAATGTAATTTTTAGATAAATCAAACAGATAAAATCAACGAAATAAAAAGAGTTGTTAAGTAAAGTTTAGCATAGCATGAAAATTATACAACAATATCAAGGTAAATACAAGGGCCTCCAAATGCCCTATTACGTCCGAGAGTGGGGAGGTCCCACCCTCCCTCTCGAAATACTTTCACATGGCCGCGCGTATCCAGTCACTACTCCAGGGAAATCCTACTCACTGCCTTCTCATGGCAGTTTGGGGTGTTGTTTACGAAATCGAGAGGATGAAAAACTAATGTCCGGTGGACACAGAAAATCCACCTAGGGGAGTTGAAAAACCCTGATTCCAAACTAATCATGTACATGGACTCCAGTATTCTGAGGGAACAAATGACGTATGAAGCAATCGTTGGTCACCAGCTACCATGGGATCGCATTTCCTTACGTCGCTCCATTGCCTTGTGGATCAGATATTTAGGTCAAAGGTTCCGGGTGTGGCCCCCTAAGAAAACAACTTGCTTCAGCTTGAGCACTCGAGCAGTATCATTACCCTCATACAATTATGTGGAATAACAATATTTTGTGTGGCGCATACATATCTGGTGCCCCTTTGTACCAATATTTATGCGTTCGAATAAATAAACAAACAAGGTTTGAATTAGTTTCCCCTGTGTTCAGTAGTCAGTTTATTTCTCTTTATTGCCTTAAGTCTTATCAACTTAATGTGATTTATTATTCAAAGTAAATACATGATCAGAAACAACTGAAAGGTATAAATTATCAAGGGAATCCTCAGCAGTGAACACCCATGATCCCTCGTGCAGACTCAAACCCAGGACCCTCGGAATCGCACTAAGACGCTTAACGTAGACTTTTCTTGCTAAAAACATTAGAAAAAACAAACAAACAAAATTGTCTTGGAATTTCTCGATTATTTCGGTGAGTAAATACAAATTCAAATGAATAAAATGTAAACAAAACAAACTAAAACAGAAAAGATAAACAAATCACTTCATCTATTTACCGCAATTTATTATCAATTCACCATTATGCTTATGGATTTACTAGTGGTTGATTTTCAATCAACCAGAAGGGGTTTTGTGGAGATTTTAGTATTTTCATAGTTGAAATCATGAGTCTATTGAAGGTAGACCACAATGGAACGTTTACTCAAACTTCGTGGATTGGTTGAGGTCAGACATTAACACTGTTGGATGCCGGCTCAGTGGTCGATCAGTTAAGTGATCTGGCGCGGGACTGGTAGGTCCTGGCTTCAAATCCCGTGAGACGGGATCGTGGATGCACACTGCCACCGACGAGTTCCACAATAGGACGAAACGGCCTTCCAGGGATTCCAGATTTTGAATTCACAAAACAATTTGATTGTTATAATACAAAAATTTAATGATTTAGTTATACATAAGTTCAAGGACTGTTAAGAGGATGAATAGAATATTGACTGATTTCTTTTTTAAAAAAAGTGAGTGATATTAAATTGCCGATTGATAGCTATGTACTTACTTACTTACGCCTGTTACTCCTATTGGAGTATAGGTCACTGACCAACATTCTCAAACACACTCTATCCGGTGACTTTCTTTCTAGTTCTATCTAATGCTTGTTCATTCTTCTCATATATATCTCCATTTCTCAGCGTATTGTATTCTTTGGTATTCCACTTCCCCTTTGGTCTTGAGCATTCCATGTGAGTACTTGCCTTGTGACGCAGTTGAGTGATTTCCTCAATGTGTGTCCTATACACTTCCAAGGCTTCTTCTTGATTACTTTCTTTACTAGATGGAATTTACTTTGTTCTCTGAGACTCGAATCCACTACCTTTCTCTTTCAACGCCATCGCGTTATCCACTCATCTACTGAGTCCTAGGACGAAACGAGCGTTCTGGATTCCACTGCTAACAACTATCCATATTTGCTTACAACTATTCACTTACAATTTAAATGAAATATTACTATTGAATACTAATATATAAATTTGTTCAAATATGCGTGTTTACTATTAGAATCTGTATTGAAAAATGAAAACTCAAGTACTTTGTTTATCATTTGATTATTATTTTTTTAAACCAGTTAATGTCAGTTGGTTACCAAATTTATTCCTGTACACACACACACCCCCACCCGCAAACACACACAGATACAAATCGTCTAGTAACCCATTTTACAACTAAGGAAAAAGAAAAAAAAAACAAGACTCAGATATGAAATTCTGGCGGTATCAGATCAAATAGTGAAACTATAATAAGTAAACCCTCTTTTTTTTTACTTAAAAAACAGACAAAATATCGGTTGACATTTGGGTATCACTACAAAACGTTTATAGTTTGAAGTGATACGACTATAAATCTTTGTTATTTTTCGATATAGATGAAAATAAATTGATTATAATGTTCATTTTTTTCGAAGCGAATTTGATTAGTGATTAGCAATAGAATACAAGGAATGAGTTTTATCCCATTTGATCCTTATCAGGTATGGTTACCTGCTGTTGATATTCTGTATCTAACTGGATAATACGTTAATTGTTTAAAGTAATAAAAAACATTGATTTCAACACTTGAGTACAAGTACCTTCAACTGAAAAGACTCAAAATAAGACAAAATATGTGTCTAGATGTTCATTATGAGCCATTATCCAACTCTGTATAAAAATGGTTATTATTCTATAACATTATTGAGATATTCTGATCAAGATTCACGTAGACCTAATGTAGTGAACAGAACACAAGTGGGGACAATCGGATGTATTTTAGCACAACATTACAGAATATCCTGTAGTGCCGCGATTCGTTAATCGTTTACTTCGATAACCGTTATAATTCTAATCTTAACGGTGCGTAAAATCAGAAGACAAAGGATAGCAGCAACTACAGTTTATTGTCGAATAACTCAGGTCAGAAAGTTAACAACGCCTTAGCGAATATTAACGAGCGAGTGAACAGGCGAATAAGCGAAGGAAGCGAACGAGAAGTAAGCGAGCGAGTAGCAAGCAATTACATAGGCAATTTATAGTCAAATTTAATAAGGGCATAGCAAACCAAAACAAAGGCTGATAATAATATTTGCGTACGTACATATATGGGGAGGAGTATGAGTCATCGAATGATATTTAAGCAGTCAACATTTCGTATAGAGTGTCATGTGCTCTAGTGGAATATCGGTGCAAAGAATATGCAAATTGTTACTATCCAAATAACTATGTCTGTTAAGTAAGTTATAAAAAGGGCTTAACCAAAATTGGCTAGAATCGAAATTGATTGTAGGATGGTTGCTATAATCTCATTAAAATATGAGAATCATATAGGGAACAGTTAATTTGTAAAATAATAATCATTTGTCTCAATTTGACTGTTTCTTCTA